TTTCTTTCTTTCTTTCTTTCTTTCTTTCTTTCTTTCTTTCTTTCTTTCCTTCCTTCCTTCCTTCCTTCCTTCCTTCCTTCCTTCCTTCCTTCCTTTCTTTTTGCTTGCTTGCTTGCTTGCTTGTTTGGAGGTTCTAGCAGGGGAGCACAGCTACTCATATACCCTTGACCGAGGAAACGGTCCTCCTCTGTCAAGGGTGGTCATCCTCTTTGACCGAGGGAGCACACAGCTTCGGGAGGGACACATGGAGCAGTGAGGGAGGAAGGGGACACCCGCCTAGCCAGCCAGATCAGCCAAATCAACCCTGGTGATCAATGGGGTGACAGATGTCTCAGCCAGATCGCCTGTAGCCTAGGTCCTGCTTGTCCCAATTTCTAAAGACAGTGGCTTGCTGTTTCCTTTCCAGCTGTTCCTCCTTTCCGCTCTTACCAGTCACACACAAAGGGATACACTGCCTTGTTCTGATTAAGAGAGCAGCTTCCTTGCTTTGGAGAAATCACCAGTGTGAGTGGAGACCTCGTGCTGTCAGGCCTGCATGGTACTTTCAATGCCCTTTGAAAACACCTGCAAAGTCACTTCAGATAACTTATTCCTCCAACCTCACGGTGTCAGGATGAAACAAGGAGGGCTGTCTTTGCTGTGAGGGTTCTGTCATGGCACAGAAATGCAGGATCCCCTCACTACTCTCTCAGTAATGGCCCCTCACCACAAGGAATTGTCTAACTTCTCTATTCAAATGTCAGTAATTGCGAATCAAGCAGAGAGAATGGCAACTACTTATTCAAAACAAGATTTGGGCTTTAGAAATTAACCACAGATAACACTGTAGTCCAGAATCCTGGCTTATAACGAAGCACTTCTGAGCCTATGTTAACAAATTAGACATTCTGCCGAAGTTTCTTCTTGGATCATGTGGCCTTCTAGTTTTTGATGATTTCCAAGACAAAAGATTAATTTATGTTTGCAGATCTTCAAGGTCTCAAAAAGTGGCTCTACTGTAGAAAGGCAGTACATTTTAGAAAATGTACCCTCTGGTGGTATATTTGTAGGCAAATTTTTATCAAATGACTATATGAATGGCATTGCAAAGAAGTAGGATCCTACATTCACCACTGTCTTCCTTATGTGGCATGGTGCCCAAGCTTTTTTTATATCTGAATCATTCCTCATACATGAAGACAGTTCCTTAGGAGATGCATTGACAGTGGTTGTAGGGATCCCTGCCGCCTGGTCACTACTGGGTGCTGCTGTGACCCCAGTTTTGAATGTCCATTAGGGTCTCCCATTTCCATGGGTCTTAAAGTTTTCATAGCAAGGGCTCCCTTTCCCTGACATGCTGAGCCTCCTGCCTTCCAGCAGCACCGTCTGTTTCTGTTTCCCTCTACCTCAGCCAAGTGCATGTCAGCTTATATGACTTTACCATATGTAGTAATAAAGAAGGTGACAGGCTTCAAAAAGAATGATGACAGTAATAGATTCTAATGTATTGAAAAAATTTTTGAGAAATTCACATTCCATAGTGATACTTCAAAAGAGAGAAGGGGGTCGGCGAGATAAAGCAACAAAGCAAACCATTTTTTATAGAACCATTGGCTAATAAATGTAGAGGAATGATAGAATATAAAATTTGCTGTTTTGGAATAACTGAATAATCAACAGACACAGAAGAGTTGTTGGCTAACTAAATGTCACATCAACTTAGAATGTCCTACCATGGTTCACTTATAAATGGCAAAGCAAAAATTGGTTCTTCAGTAAAGAGGTCTGGCAGTCAGCACCTTAAGCAGGTGGGACAGTGAGACACGATGCACTTGCAGGCGGCAAAGAGAGAAAAACAGCATGCCCCCACTCAAGCAGTGCTCTTGTGGGACATCGGGCTTGAGTCTAGACACAGCCATGCTGTTGGATGAATCCAGACCACTTTCCTGAGCTCCTCAGAGGATTCAGTGCCCTGTAGAACAGAAGGAGGCAGGGGACAGTGCAGGGAGCTGGGGAGGAGTGGGAGGTGAACTTGAGAGGGTGACCAAAGATCCGGTGCAGGAACTTGACTGGCTACTATGTTGTTTTAAAAAGATCTACAAAAGATTTTTTTTTTTGGTACCGGAGACCGAACTCGAGACCTTCTGCTTGTGAGGCAGGTGCCAGAACCACTGAGCTAAATCCCCGGCCCTATGAAAGATATTTTTATTTAAATATAGACTTTAGGCCAAATATCATTAAATTCTTGTTGATTTTCTTGGGTGCAGTGGTACTGTTGTTATGCAGAATGTCCCTGTTGGGGGGAAATAAACATGTTGAAACGTCACAATGTATGTGTGTGAACTTCCCTTGGATATTCCGGGAGAAGGGCTGTGTGTGCACTCATACAGAAATGGAGTAGTGCAGCACACTGTTAGTAAGTGTTGGTGAATTTAGGTAAGATGCATAGACAAGTTTATTGTATTGTTCTTTCTAATTGTTGGTGGAAAGGCAAATGCGAAGTCATTTGTCAGTTAAAAAGTTTTAAATAAAAAAATATTTAAGGCTGAGAATGTGGCTCAATGGTAGAGTACTTGCCTAGCATGTGCAAGGCCCTGGCTTCAATCCCCAGTCCTTCAAAAAGTAAATTAAAAAATTAAAAGCAGACAATGGGAGGCAGTGTTTTCAGAATGGCCTAAAACAATAGACCTGCTCCAGGTTGCATGAATTCTAGCTTTTAACTGTGGTTAACTGTGATAATTGGCTAACTGTGTGGTTGACACAATGTGATTAGATCTGAATAAGAAGCATTTATGGTCCCGATGTATGGACAGAAACAGAGGCAAGTCAAAGTGGCCTGATTTGAGGAAGGCTGCTCAGCCGGTTAGATACAGAGTCAGGACTGAAACCTGGGCCTATGTCTCAATGCCCAGCTGTCTCGTAATGCAGCCAGGAATCTCGCAATGCTCTGCTGGACACTCCTTCTCCAGAGGGTCTTAGAAAAGTCATTGTCATGGCCGTTCCTGTCTTGTGGAGTTCAGATATGTATCAGAGTCGTCCCCCTTTTTGAGACTGGTCTGACCAGTCATCTAGAATATTTCAAGGGTGATGCAGGTAAGTGCTGCTCACTCAGGGGGCACATTTTAAGGTGGCCTCTTAAGGAGATTTAATGAAAAGCTAAAGTGGCTATAAAGGGCCATAAGAGTATAATGCATAGTTTTAGCCTTAGCCCCACTGAGCTTCTCCTGCATCAAGTGAAGTGTTTTGTTTTCATTAAATGAGCTCACAGTTGGTAAAGATTTGGGAGGGGGGAGGGCAAGACAGGCTCCATTAAAAGCGAAATTTGGAACACTGCTAATAATGAAAAGAGAAGGCTTGTTTTCATTATTTCCTCTTTATGGGCACTACCCTTAATTCGGCAGGGTGCTCCTCATGATCCTTCACTTGCAGAAGGGCCCATTCAGCTGAGACCGGTGCCAGGCAAATGAGGGGCCCAGAGTGAAGAGAGGGCAGCAGTGCAGTGCCCCCTGGGCTCCCTGGGAGGGGTGGGGCAATGACATCCTGCTGGCATGCGAGATTCCTCTTCCAAGCATCACCAACAGAAGGTACTGGCCGTGGAAAAAGAACACACTGTGGTTACTGTGCTCGGATTTGAAATGTGATATGTGAGAGGGCTTTTGGTTTCTCCTTGGGTTTGACAGGTGGCCCTGTCTTGTGAGCTCTTGGCCCTCAAGTCTGCCTTTCACATCTGCTTCACTCCACTCCCATCTCAGCACATTTACCCGGGAGGAGTACCTGCGGGGTTCTGATTATTTTAGATTTAGGTCAGGAATTGACAAGGGTCTTGCATATTTTGGTCTTTGAATAAAAGCTACTCTAGTGGGTGGTGTCTTCTTATTTTTTCAGTTTCCTCCAAGCCTTGTCCCCTTTATCTTGCCATTCAAGGCCCTGCAATCCAGTGTGGCCTCCACCTTGGGTAGGATGTTTCCTCCCAGAGTGAATCTCACCCTGCTCCCCTCCTGCAGCTGTGATAGTGCTCATGCTGCTTCTCACATGGACCCCTTGCATCCCTTTTCTGGTTTGTGGCACCACATAATGATTAAGACTGTGCTGCTGGAGCCAGACTGCCGGCTTCCAAGTCTTGGATAAGTGTTTAACCTCTTGTTGCTTTGGTTTCCTCATCTAAAAGTGGGGCTGGAAGGACTTAGATGAGTCCCTCAGATAGTGCAGGCCTTTCTTAAGTGCTATATGAATACTAGCTGGTCTAATCATATTCAACCACACAAATGTCAGTACTGACTTGGTGAGGTCCAGTTCAAGTCTCAGCTGTACTATGCAGCCTCCTCTGACTTCTCCCCCTCAAGAGGATGCTTTGAGATCTTATTTGTATGTACCACACACACTCACAGCAGATATTTAGTGGCTTGTATTCTTTCACTATTTCATGTTCCCCACATCCATTGAGAGTATGAGCTTCTAGTGGACAAGAACATCATTGTTTATCTGTTATGTTTTCAGTAAAGATCTAGCAAGACTAAAGTCCTGAGGCATGTGGTATCTCCTCTCTCAGAATCTGTGCTGTGAATACCTTGTATCAGTGGAAGACGTGGGGCCACTGTATGAACAGTTCAGATCTCTTATGCAGTGGTAAGCTGGAAACACCTTAGAAGTAGCTGGCAGAACATAGTATGCGAGAGAAGTGGAGAGAGTAGAAAGAATGTGGAGAGGTTTTTGTAGGATCTACAGAGTCTCCTTCCCGGTGTTTACAAGTTGCAAGTAGAGGATTGGGGTTATTTTGAAATTATTTTTGGTTACTGCTGTGTATTTTTTTTTTGATACTGGGGATCAAACTCGGGTCCTTGCACTTGTGCAGCAGGCGGCAAAACCATTGAACTAAATCCCTGGCCCCCATGTGTATTTTTTTTTTTTTTTGATTCCACAAATGTTGGGGCTATGTTGGTCATAGCTTTGTAAAATGACAATTATACATGTAAAATGATATCTACACAAAGGAAAAATACTGTAAAAATTTAGGGAACCATTGATACCAATTTTTAGGAACCACTGATATAAAAGAAAGGTCTCTCAGATGCTTTCTGCTTCACATCTATCTCTCCATTTCAGGGTCATCCCAATTCATATGCTCCCTTTTTTTCTTTGGGGGCTGATTTCATTTACTCCCTCATCACAATCCTTCCCTGAGCTGGGACCAGAACAAAAGGGATGAGAGGGAAGTGGGGAGCAGAACGGAATATGGTCACTGGGCTCCTGAGACATAGTGCTCAGGAGGCTGTATCTGAACATTGGGGCAAAGGAGGGCATCCCATGTAAGGACAAATGGCAGGGATTCCAGAGAGAAGGAAGTCAGGCAAGTGTACCACAAAGAGATTAGTATAGTGCCTCTCAGACTTTTCTATACTGTGAATCACTTGGGATCCTGGGAAAGTGCAGATTTTGAGTCAGTAATTCTGGGCTGGGTCTGAGAGTCTGCATTCCTAATCAGCTCTCAGAAGATGCTGGTTCATTCACCATACTTGAAACATTAAGTCCTAAGAAACTCCATGAAAGGGGTAGGTCTGAGTTTGGTGACCCAATGCAGAGCTGTCAAAATGACATTATTTTTAAGTATCAGGTGATAGAGGGAAAGGGCATAGATACTGTTGCCTCAGAAAGTGAGAGGGACCCAAATGGAAGGTGAAAAATCAGAGGAAGAGAGCAAACTCCATTGATTAACAACTCTACCTACTTGGAGAATATCCTCCCAGATTCTTCAGGAGAAATTTCTATGCTCCCTTTTAAGGAGGAAGCCACTCCCCTCCAGGAGTCTTCCCAGCCTCAGAGCACTCCATGATACAGCAAAGTTTCACCAGTTGGAAATTCAGTACTAAAAAGCCTCAGGACCCATTTGATGTATTTTAAACTGCATTAGTTGGTTAGTTGTCAAGTGAACATATGACCCTGCTGCTATACCGCACACTCCTACCATCCTCGGCAGTTCAGGTCAAGAAGAGCAATATTATCAGCAAGCAAAGAATGTGGTGAGTGCTCACCCCAAGCTAGAAGTTAGAATAGCAGGAGGTGGTGGCAGGAGAATCTGGGAGTCTACTCACAGTGTGATGGATTCGTTATTCATCCCTTGAAAAGCATTTCCTGGTATGGTGGTTATGTACAAGTTATCACAAATTTCCCTTGAGGAAAGAAATTAGAAATATTTACTTTCGAAATTTTAGCAGCAAATAGGAAACTTTTACGCATTGCAATCATCCTGGTACTTACAGAATGAAATTAAATTCAGATGAGAAGATCTTCGTAACATCTGGAAATGTTTGGATGCCTGTGTTACAGATGCTCCTGTGATTTGGGGCAGGGAAGTGATGTTGGCAGAGTTGGTAAAAGTGATTGTTATTAAAATGCAAAGATAAAAAGGAGTAAAAAGGCATTTTGCAAACACTATTTTCACATTAAATTTTAAAATATTGACTTTGGCTTCATCAGTAACACTTTTAGCTCATGAAGATTACCAGAATTTAAAGGCCATAACTGCTGTGGACAAGTTGTTCTAATGGCTCCTATTTAGAGATCTAGGGCCTGGGACCAAGCTTTCAGGTCTTTTCCATTTGAATTTCCAGCCTATCTTTTCCTATTTACTCGACTGCATTTTCCTATTATATTCCATTCCTTCTGATAATTAGTTTATCCCATGTTCTTCATAGTTTTAGGAAACACCCCTCTCCTTTGGAATAGGAGGTTTTAACTCAGACACGTCAGAAAGATTAATCTTATGTGAGAAATCCACTTCCATCATTACTAAAAAATCTTCCTTTATTTAGCTACTTTGCAATTTAGTAAGTTCTTCCTTGTATCCCATTGAAATCATTGAGCCTTTTGGTGTTTGGAGCCACTAAAGGCTCTTCTTTTCTTCCTGCCTTTTTTTTTAACCTTCAAAGAAGAGAGAGGCATAAGTGACAGGCGAAACTGAAGAGTATTTTATTATAAAAATCGGTCTCCTTCAGGGTGTCCAGACACTCACTAGACATGGGCTCTGGACACCAGATAGAAACTGTCTGGTGTCTGGTGATAGTGAAGCCTGGTGATAGCCAGGTTTCCATTCTGGCTTTCCTGTTCTTCTCTTTACTTGCAATTAATTTGAATGAATGAACAAATGTGATACAAGGATCACACTGATTTTAAGCCCTATCCATGGCTGGGGCCAGCAGTGTGGGCTTGGGTTGGAGGATATGACATTTTTGGGAGAAAATGTTTATTAATAAAGACAATAACTTTTGGATAATAAGGTACTAGGGTGATCAAATTTGGTTCTTAGTTGTTTGTTTTTCCAAGGTTGTAGATGCTGTAGTATGTGTATGTACCCCCATGGCCCTGGAGGTTGGGAGAAACAGAACACCTTGGTTTGGAAGTGTCCAGCATCAGAGCTGCCCAAGGAGCATCACCAGAAGGCCCAGGAGCAAGGATGATGGTGGCCCTCCATCAGAGAGCTGTCCCTTCCCTCTCCCTCTTTGTACTTTTATTTGCTGGTGGTGTTGAGGGGTGGACTTTACATCTTGTGGGGAGTTGATGAAATTTAATTTATCAAAAAGAAGAGAGTGGATATCTACGTTACGGGGATTTAGATTTTTCTTTGTTGGGGGGGAGGGATCAAGAGATGTAAGGAGAGGGAGTGAGGGAGGAACAGGGAATGAAAAGGGGATCAAGATGTGCTGTGAGCATGTATCAACTCCACACAAGGAGTGTACCCATTACGTACTGCAAACATGTACTAGTAAAAAGATAAACAAAATAAAAAATTTAAAAAAGAAAACACAAAATTTTCTTTGTGAGTCAGGAGTCTTGATATATGAGAAGGTCCACAATAATACATTTAAAGATTCTATCAAATTTCAGGAATTTTGGCATTGCTGGCAAAGCCAACTGCTGTTGGGCTGTGGTGGTACTCGGTTTGTCATGTTGACCAGTAGACTTGGTACGATGTAATGGGAAATAGAAAATAATGATTTAGTTTATATTGGCACAGTGCTTACGTCAGGGCAGTACTTTAAAGGTTTTTGCTTGATGAATGAATGAACAAATGAGATGAAGGAGACAATAATTCTCAACCAGTGCTGACAGTCAACTCAGAACTGTCTTCCTTCATCTCCTATCTACTCACCTTAGAGATTCTGATTTATCTTTTTGGAAGAGGTGTTATAATCCTGCCCAATTGTTAATTCTGAAAATCACTGCAGAGGATAATGTTCTCAGGTGTTTGGGACAGAAACAGTGTTGGGAGCCACTAACCACTAATGTGTATGCAAAAGCACTGGGAATGGTGGCTGAGAAGAAGTACAGATGAAATCAAAAGAGTAGGACATGTAAACAATGCTGAATATATGGTTTGAAACATTCTTCTCAACTTTTTAATTGTTTTGATTTTCATTCCATGTCCATCTTCCCCTCCCCAAGTGCTTAAAAAGGACAATTCCTCACAGGTATTTTAGCCGGGGGAGATGTGTAAATGCACCAGGCCCAATGTACACCAGGTTTTTGGTGTTCTGGATCAGTCTGTAAAGAGAAAAGGGAAAACAGGCAGCAGTTTAATAGATGTGTATTGTTTGGAATGGATGAGACTGTGGTCACTGGAGATTGCTGGCTGAAATTGCCATCAACAAAATCAAGGCAATTTCAAATGCTTAAGAGGAGCTCCTAAAGTGCTGGGAGTGGAAATGGCTCTGTAAGGGCCCATTGGCTATTTCTTGGAAGCTACCCAAACCCTCTGAAGAGGCAAGTGGAGGCATCCTAGCTAGGAATCTGTCTGTGCACACCCACCCCCAACCCTCCCTTCCAGATAGCATCAATACCCCTGGTTCCTGGCTGAGTAGATCCTGCCCTACGACAGAGCCTGCAGACTGCAGAGGATGGCAGATTCTACTCTCAGTAGAGGAACAAATTAGCTTCTCTCCCTTGTAGGCAAACTAGTCCTGTCCATAATGAGCTGACAATCACACTGAGCAATTATCCAGGAGGGGCCCAGTCAGTGGAAGAGCAAGGGCAGAGGTCAGGGGTTTGGATTTCTATGCTCATTCTATAGATGATTCTCTGTGTGACGATACCCAGCTTCCTAACTTCCCTGAGAGAGTGTTCCTTTCTGTAAAGTTGGAATAGAGTAATAGTATGAAGCTGGGCATGGGGGTGTATACCACACTTGTAATCTCAGCAATCTGGGAGGGTGGGTCAGGAAGACTGCAAGTTCAAGCCCAGCCTGGGCAATTCAGTGACTTAATGAGACCCTGTTTCAAAATTTTAAAAAGGACTGGAGATGTAGCTCAGTGTAAGGGACTTGAGTTCAATCCCCAGGACAGAAATATATCTAAATAAATAAATAGATACATAGTTGTGTATGATTCCTGTCCCACAGGTTGGTAGGTTTCGAGTAATAAAATAAGTTGAGATAATCCAAGGCAGGGCTTTGTGAAGTGCAGAAATACAGCCATAAGAGCACATGGTATTATTCCCCTTTCTTCATCCCGTCAATGACTATGAGCCTTTAAGAAGTACTGTAATTGTTGAGTCCTGTCTACTTTGGATTCATCAAGAGGCCGCAAATACATTTGGCTTTCTTAATCAGGCACCCACCCCCAGAGGACATGATGATTACTCTTGCTCTATAGAAAAAACAGAGTGTGTTGGTTAGGAATGTGCACTCTAGAGCCAGCTTGGTTTTACATCCTGATTTTACTAATTGGCTGACCTTGAATATCTCACATAACACCTTCTGTGACTCAGTTTCCTCATAGGGTGTTTTTAAGGAGTAATGTGGGTATCTAGTTTGCAGTAGGCCTTAGCTGGTGTTCATGATTATTATTCCAATTGAAATCAGGAAATTGAACGATTCATCTTTGGTCACGTAGCTGCAAAGTAGGGGAACTTTAGTGGGACCCAAGCTTTCTGACTCCAAGTCCAGTGCTCATTTCTCCATGCCACAGGTGTCTGTTTCCACTTACAAGATGGAAATCAGCATCTAATTCTTCAGATGTGAGTGCTATTTCATGGTAATATCTCTCAATAATAGAGTCAAGGAATCACTAGCCATACAGGGCATTGTATAGGTGAGATGGAAGGGACTTGACTTCTTAAAGATCTTGTGGGGCCTGATCACTCATTCATTTTACAAACATTTATGGAGCACCTGCATGTTCCAGACCCTGTTCTAGATACTGGGTTACAGCTATGAATGAAGGAAAGTCAACCACCAGGGCCGCTTTGGAGAATCCATGAACTTCCCCTTTAAAATGTTTCTTTTTCTTTCTGATAAATGCTGCTTTGCATCACAGGAAACTTTATAATTAGCTGCCCTGGTGGTTCTCAATATTAAACTGTGTTTCTACATTACCTGGGAAGTCTGTTAAAACTGCAGATTTCCAGGGACCATGCTGTCATCTCCAACTACAATGAGCTCTGTGCACAATTCTGCTTCACAGCCAAGTTCAGACTATATCTTTTGCACCTAAATACCCATTGTTTAGGGTTTTACTGTAATTGGTGAGTTAGTTTCACCTCCCTGGCTTCATTGTCATCTCCTGGTAGACATTTGTATTTTAGCTTCTCTGTATTCCAGCAGCACTTGCCCTGGAACTGGATGCGTGGCAATCGCTCAGATATTCATTATACAGTTATTTCCTTTAAATAATTAATCACTGGACCATTTATAGGGAGGCCTTGGGGTATAGTGGAAATATATGGGCTTTGAAGGAAGACAACCTCAGGGTTGATCTCAGGCCTGCCACTGTCTGACGTCAATCTGTGGCCCTATTTCCAGCCTCTATTCCTTCCCCTAGACAAAAGGGGTAACTATCCTACTCTGCAGAGTAGCTGTGAATATTGGTGGCACAACCTAGGGAAATGCCAAGCACATGAGTTGGAATGATATTTGATGCTGATACGCTTCCCTCCTTTCCCCTTTGACACTCCTCAGCAGGAGAGTTGGAGGGCTCTTTCTGAGGGTCAGGTTGGAACCACGAGTGCCAGGTGTGGAAGTCACTAACTCTGGCACTCACTTGTGTGATGCCCAGCAAGTCAGGTAACCTCTTTGGGCCACAGGCTCATCATCTGAGAACAGCACTGAGCCAGTCTTTTCCTAAAATTTTACTGAAATAAGGGAAAAATGATACTTGTAAGGTTACTTGGAAAAGATTACCTGTCAGTTCTAGAACATCATGGTAACATGATCAGCAAAATAAGTCTAACATGTACAGGCTCAGCACAGGGATTTTCATGGTATCCAGGCAGCATTTACAGAAAGAAGGAATGTGGCATAACAGCTGCCAGACACTCAATTCCTGCTCTCTAAGTTCCTCTCCAAATTTTCCAACTACCCTGAGTACTCCATACCTCCCCTCCATAAGGCAAGAGCTACTTGCCAGGACTTCACCATGTCAATTTTAATTTCCAACATTGTGTTGTGATGTTTCAGAGTTTGTACAGCTCCCAGGGAGAAGCAGTTGTCACCATGGCAACCTTCAGGCCACTGCAGCGAGAGAAATTAGTGCCTGCCCAGACCTAGTAATTGCTGTAGTCTTTTCCTCTTGGGTTCCTAGTAGTGGATGCTTGAATACAAATACCAAGAGGGCGCCAGCCAGCGAGGGTAATAGTGTACAGCCGTAAACTATCTGTTAGCTGATGCTTACATTTCAGACAAATTGAGGAGGCTGTCAAAGGCATTAGCTTCTATCCTTTCCAGGGAATCACTCTGAGAGATTTCACTAGGGGAAGAGGGGGAAGAAAAAGAAAAAAGAGACATGAAAAAAGTGACCATGTCTGTTGTATGTGTGACCCAACAACTAGGGGCTCTATTGTGTCCCCTTGAGAAAGAACAGAACGTACAAATTGTCCTTACATCATAAAGTGCTAACATCTCCCTTTAGGAGCAATGATGGGTGCCTGCAACCCAGGAGAGGTTGAAATGCAAGTTTCAGTAACCCCTGTTTATGTGACATCCTTTCTCTTGTTTATCTGGGCCTCAGAATCACAGGCTGTTAGAAGTGGATCAGCCCTTTGAGAAAAATCTAGTCAGAGTCCTTTGTTTTATAGCTGTAGAAATCAAAGACACTAGAAGAGAAGCAAATTATATTTATACAAAGGTTCAGGCTTAGGATTGGGATTTCTGGGGTCAAATTCCATCACTCTAAAGAAGCTTTAATATGAGGTCAATCAGTTGTTTCATAACTCTCAACCCTTGGTTTCCTGAAACCTTCTTTTGAGGCTGTTTTGTAAAAGGTGTAATAGGTGGTTAACTCCTGCATATGCTTCCATCATGGATTGTAATTATCCTTGACTGTTTTTTTCAAAACTCTGTGAGTAAATTGAGGACAAGGAATATTTTCTATTTCCTTCTGAATTCTTGGTGGCTTCATGGTACCTAGTTAGGAAATGAATGAAGGAACTAATGACTAAATTGTTTAAAAAGACAAAGGGACCATGTACAGAAACCTAATAACCTATATTAATTTAAACATTATATGCCATAACATGAGCTAAGTTCAATAATATCAACAAGAATGAAAAATGGGATACGAAATCAGAGGAGGAGGGGGGAGAGAGGAGGAGGGAAGGGGAAAGGGATTAAAAAAAGAAACAAGCTGTGGTATGTACATGTAACCACTCTCTAAGATGATTGTAAACCGAATGAATTGCAAACATGTATAATAAAATAAAAAAATTTTAAGACAATTTTAAAAGGAAAAGAAAACTGAGATCTTAAAAAAAAAGGAAGCAGCTTTGTCAACTACCATCCCCAAGCGTGTTGGTAATGTCAGCGTTACCCTAAAATACCAACATAAGTTACCATTTGCTACCAGCTGAGAAAGAAGTCTCAAAATCGCAAATTGTACATCTATGTATTTTTAAGGTTAACATTCACTGAAGGCTTCAGACTTGATGAGAGCTTTACCCCACAGAAAGGAAAAGCCTAAGGAGTTAATGTCTTTTCTGAACAACACAGTAATGGATTGCTTCTGGGCTTGTTCATCTTATTCCTACCTAACTGCTTATTTAACTGTAGCAGTTTTCCTTAGTAGGAAGTCTTAATACATTAAAAGTTATCAAAACTCAACATTTAAACTTGAGAGCAGGCAGAAGAGCATGGGATAGGCACAAACAAACTGGCCTGTCTATAACCTGGAGTGAATTTCCTGTAAAGTGCAATATTCTGGAGCAATTATTTTTTAATATTCTCATTGCTTTCTGATACCTAAAGAGCAGCAGGGGTTCCTCAAGGAGCTAAGCTTGATTGTGTAGCATCTTTGGAGATGCAAATCTGCTTTGAAAGTCCAGTGAATTGTTCAGCTTAGAGGTGCTCTGTGGGAATGAAATGGTGCCCTTGAATCCTTTGACCCAGGCTAATGTTAAGGAGGATGCTGGGAAGTTCTCTTTCCATCTATGGGGTCTTTGACTTTAGAAGCTAAAACCCAGGGACAAAGGATAGAGATTACATCCCATAAACACAAGAACACGCTGTGTTATCAGGTTGCTTTGCACTTTTGATAAGTGCCTTTCATCAATATAGCTATAAATATTGTAGTTTTGCCATACACTTATTATGTTTTAGATACAAAGATTATCTTTTGATACACAATAAACTTCCAGCACAATTTCTTCTATGTGGGAGTTATCTAAAAATGTGACACGAGGGAATAGCGGCTATAGCACAAGGAGAATTTTTATGATTGAAATTTATCTTCTTTTCTACTTATAACATCACTTATCAAAATGCATTCAGTTCTTTGAAGTAAGGTTAATTATTTGGATTTTAATGACTCTTGAAAAATCATACCTTTTCTTCAAAGGCCCCTAGATATTATTTGTATTATAAAGATAAAAATACTCCAGTTTCCTAAGCACAATTTCTGTTCTGGAATAATTATCCCTTTCAATTCTGTTTTCTTTTAGAAAAAAAATTCATTATTTTAACTATGAATATCTTTTAATATGCAGTATCTTACTTACATTTTCATGACCTCATTAAGTCCCCTGAAAGCTTGAGGTGGAATTACTTTGACAGGGAGATAGGTGAGTGATCTAGAAAAGAAAAAAGGAAAGCCAAGAGTTTAAGGTTTAAGACTGGATACCTTTTAAGTTTGTGAATAAAGTGTGTGGATGTGTGTATGTGTGGGTGTATGTGGCTACGGAGTTAGCAGTGGGATTCAGGTTGAGAATTCTAACTGATATCAGTAAAGATAGAAGCCATGAATCATTCTTGTCTTTATCAACGAATGTGTAACTTGGTGGTTAAGATATGAATGTTAGAGTCAGACACCTATGAGATCAAATCCTCACTACTACCTGGTTGTAGGGTGATCCTGAGCATGTTATTTAAACCTTCTGTTTCAGTTTCTTCATCAGTAAAATTGGAATAATAATTCCTATTTCACAGGATTGTTGTGATTAATCAACATAACCCAAGTAAAGGTTAGAGCTTGGCACCAAGTAAATAGCAAATAATTCTAGAGTGGTCCTCTAGGCTTGGTTGACTAGATGGACAAAAAGCTGTTTTGAATAGAATGGAGAAATTAGTGGTGAGAATACAATTGGAAACCATGCAGGTGGGAAAAGGGAAGAGTAATTAAGAACATGCTCCGGGGTGTGAGGTGATCTGGCTGCGACATCTGTCACTCTATTGATTGCCAGGGTTGATTCTGCTGATCTGGCTAGGTAGGTGGGTGTGCCCTTCCTCCTTCAGTGCTCCATGTGTGTCCCTCCGAGGCTGCACACCAGGTTGAAGAGGACAAACTTCCCTGACAGGAGGACCGTTTCTTTGGTAAAGGGTATATGAGTAGCTGAGCTACCCTCCTAGAACCACCAAACAAGCTCTCAAGAATCTGCTTCTATCTTGACCTGTACCATCTTCCTTGAGCAGTCTATTGCAACATTACCCTACCCAGACCACTTTACTCCCATGGTTAGCTCACATGGGCATCTCATGCCATTTGTGGAATGTCTGTGGCAGCATTTCCTTCAGGTACTCACATCCACAGGGACAGCTTAGTATGCTTAAAATTGAAGTAAAAACAGTACACAAAATGAGAAAGTGACAATCAACAATATCAAAGCTAGTATAGGATGATGTGGTTCAGATGATTCAGGAAAACTGTAAGGGAAGGAAGAACATTCACCCGTTTATTGAGCATCTGTCGTGGTTCAAGATTTTGACCTAAGGACTGGCAGAAAGGAAAGGAGTGGGAAGTGACTGTCAGGGAAACAAGAGCAGGGATAAGAGATGCTGCCTTGTTTTCCATGGTCTGTGCAGCAGGGCCTGCCTTAGCTGGGAAGAACGAACATTTTGTTTATGATGAGCAGATTTCAATCAGTGTAAGAAGGGACTTGCTACTGGTATAAGCTGCTGGGTGAGTTATACAACCCACCTATAACCTTACTTTATTTACTCAATAATGATGTGAAGTAGGTATTGCCCCTTGATAGCAGAAGAAATTGGGTGACAAAGAGATTAAGACAGGTAACAGACAGGAGACTGCCCCATTCTCCCCCAGTAAGCTGGGTGGAAGTATGAGTAACCTTGTAAGGCCTTGTAACCTTGCTTCTCTTCTCTCGAAAGAAAACATGTCACCCTCTCTGTTGCTCTTACAAAGCATTGCACCAGCATTTCCTACCTCGGAGCTAATGTGGAAGTGCTATAGAAATTCCATTTGAGAAAAGTGCTTTTGCTCAACAGTTCTTAGAGATGATACAACCGAGAAGAAGTAATCCAAACTTGGTCCTCTGATTCTATTCCTAAGGACAGTCCTACCGAGCACATTGCTCAACACCCCAAATTATTTAACAGATATTCCGAGAAAAGCAGACAGAGCGGGGAGAAATCTTCTTGTGATGGCATGTTTGCTTCCTATATTTCTTCTGGAATCATTTCCGCTTGGCTTACTGATTAAAAACACAGTTTTATTGCTCTTTACACTGCCAAGCCAATAAATTTCAAGAAGAGAAAGCTGTATTCTACTGTACCCCATGCAACATCAATAAAACTGACAGCCAAATTCTGATTCCAGAATCTTTATTGCTGAAGATAATGCAGTGCAGAGCATATTTTGGAGAGTGTTTACATAAAAGCTTCAACGGAACCCTTCAGAGCTGTTTATTCATGCAAATTGAGCCCAGAAGCTGCAGCTTTCCAGCGGGAGGCAGATGACCCAAAATGGGAGCATACTGTGGCTCCCAGAGGGATAGTTTAGTTCTGATTCAACCAGGGAGGTTGCCCAAGCTTTGGATGGATGTGGGATGAAGGATGACGAGCCAAGGGTCGGGTAGAAAGGAGAGAAGCCATAGATCATGCACTGGCATACCCAGTGACTATGGAACAGCTCTGGTGCAGGATGAAATTTTGCAGAGTTGTTGATGCTGCAGAACAGGAGGGGCAGCTGTGATGAGAGGAAAAACAGAGTCCCACCATTTAAGGGACACCCAGCAAGCAGCAGGTGGCTTTGTGGATGTGGCTGGGTCAAGAATAAGGCCTGGGGCAGAGAATGAAGAGAAGTAGGGTGAGACAGGTGCCTCGTGCTTTTAAAAACAGATGTGTTCCCATGGAACGCCATGGAGAATGTGATTGTGTGAACCCAAAACCAACTCAAAACGTTTTCCCCACTGACTTATGTTTTTATTTCAAGATGTCATATTTTCATTTCTGATTCATTTTCACTTGGCAACAGTTCCTAAGCATTCATGTGTCTGTTTCCCATGTTTAAATCTGTTTATGATATAACTCATGATTTTTGTTTTTTAAAATATATATTTCTAAATTTTATTTATTTATATTTTGTTTTTTTCAGACAGGGTTTTGCTATGTAGTTTAGGCTGGCTTTGAACTCACTATGTAGCCCAGGCTGGCCTCATACTTGTGGCGATCTTCCTGCCTCAGCCTCTCGAGTGCTAGGATTACAGGTGTGTGCCACCATCCCAGCTATATTTTTTATTTTTAATTGACATATTTATGTGGTATGATGTGTCATTTCAACACAAGTATATGATGTTTAGTGATCAGATCATGGTAATTGGCATATCTATCACCTTAGGTATGTATAATTTTTTTTTCCCTTAAATTCTTTTATTGGTACATTTTAGGTATACAATACATTTACATTTATCATTGGGTGCTTGTACCTGTACATGATGTATCATGATCCTTATTTTTTCCCCTTTACCTGTGTACCCTTCACCTCCTCCACCCATCCCTATTTATGTAGACTTCATTTCCATTTTTTTCTTTTCTCATAATTTTTTTGTGTTGGGAATATTCAAATTCTTTTCTACTAGCTATTTTGAAATGTTCAATTAATTGTTGTCAACCGTAGTTAAACTACCATGCTATAGAACATTAGAAGTTATTCCTCTTATCCAAATGAGATTTGTTTTTTTTTCCCATTAAGTTTATTGGTACATTTTAGGTATAAAATACAGTTACATTCATCATTGGGATCTTGTACCTTTACATGATGCATC